TTTGTTATTTTTTTTAATTCTCTTGGAGCGATTGTCGCGCGAAACAAAAATCACGTGCTCACAATTGGTGAAAACCTTCACAGACACCATAAGGCGATAGTGAGTTGAGAAAAAGAACAAAATGAGAGAGGCTTGATGGTGAATACCCTCCGGGCACTACAAGTCGAATAAGGATCGTGAATCAGATTAGATAATCGGAGCATTGAAGCCCAGTTCCACGGTTTAGGGGTATAACAAGAGTTGAACATCAAACTTATTTGACAGATTAGGTCACTTAATCAACATGTGCATGTCATGGTCATTAGAGTTGGTATCCACATCTGATAGGTTTCTACTCTACTTTGTAAATTTCTTGTTAGGAATCATCTCTTTCCATTGTCCTTTACTTTGTTCCTTTTGTCTTGTTTACTTCCTCTTCCTGAGTCTGTTTGGTCAGAACAAGTGAGAAATGACTTCAAAATTTGCCACCAGCTTTCCAATTGCACAAAACGGGATATGGCTAGCACATCAAAGTGTCATAAGTCAGGAAAGAACAACAAGCGCACCGAGTTGGTAACAATCGACATGCTTTGGGATCCATGTGAAATACAAAGGTTTGGTATATATCAATTCATGAACAATGCAACAGATGGAGGGTGTTAGGTGAACGGATCAAATGTATTTTCTGTGATAAGATTGACAAAAAAAGCGATTAACCAGGGACAAGCAAGATCTTCCAAGCAGAAATCAAAGTTATCATGGCAAGTGAAGGAGCAATAGACCTCAAGGCCAGTGGTTTAAGTCAAGAAAGAACAGCATACGCACTGAGGGGGTGGAAATTGACGTTCTTTGGGATTCATGTGAGACACAAAGGTTTGGTAAATGTCAGTTCATAAGCAATGCAACATATAAAGGGTATTGGGTCTAAATGGAGAATAGGTATTTTCTGTGATAAGGGTGACAGAGAAAGTGGTTAGTCAATAAACAAGCAAGGTATTTGAGTGGAAATCAAAGTTATCATGGGAAGTGAAGGAGCAATCGCCCTCAAAGTCAAGGCCACAAACCAACCACCATATTTTTAAACTAACAAGATTTTTTTTATTTGAAACAGGGGCAGAAAATTTTGTTTGTTTCGGAGAAACTCTCCGTAAGGAAAAGCAAGCACCAGACAGGTTTGACCGTAAATTCTCAGGACCCTCCTGGAAAATGGGACCTAGTTTAAAATTCAAAACAATCATGAATAGAAAAATCTAGTATAAATGTACCCCAAAGAAATATAAGTTGACTTTGAAGTTTTCATTCTTAGGATAGGATTCAATTCGAATTGTTAGGACCCTCCTGAATAATGGGACCTAGCCTCAAGATTTCTGTTAGATAACAAGATTTAGCATGAGTTCTATTGTAGGATAGTATAATTCAGCCGTAAAAGTTGTCACTCTTAAGATAATACTTGATTTTTGACTTTCAGGACCTTCTTGGTTAATGGGATGTAGTTTTAAGACCTTCTTAGATAACCAGATTTAGCGGTAGTCATACCTTTAGAAAGCATAATTCAGCTTTTTAAAAAAACTGTCATTTAACTAGGAGTTGTCAGGACCCTCGTGTATAATGGGATCTAGCTTTCAAATTCATAAAAATATTCGATAAACACTCACATATGTGCCCAGCTACCAAACTGGGGCAGACAATTTTCTTTGTTTTGTCTATTTTGTTGAAATCAGGCGCCCACCTGGAGAGCACGGGAATACAATTCAAGTTCAGCAATCAGGCGCCAACCTGGAGAGCACGGGAATACAGTTCAAGTTTAGTAATCAGGTGCCCACCTAGAGAGCACAGGAATACAGTTCAAGTTTTGGCAATCAGGTGCCCACCTGAAGAGCACGAGAATACAGTTAAAATTTTGGCAATCAGGCGCCCACCTAGAGAGCACGAGAATACAGTTAAAGTTTTGGCAATTAAGCGCCCACCTGGAGACCACGAGAATACAATTCAAGTTTGGTAATCAGGCGCCCACCTGGAGAGCACGAGAATACAGTTCAAGTTTCGTAATCAGGCGCCCACCTGGAGAGCACGGGAACATAGTTCAAGTTTTGGCAATCAGGCGCCCACCTGGAGAGCACGGGAATACAGTTAAAGTTTGGGCAATCAGACGCCCACTTGGAGAGCACGAGAATACAGTTAAGTTTTGGAAATCAGGTGCCCACCTGGAGAGCACGGGAATACAGTTCAAGTTCAGCAATCAGGCGCCCACCTGGAGAGCACGGGAATACAATTAAAGTTTTGGCAATCAGGTGTCCACCTGAAGAGCACGAGAATATAGTTCAAGTTCACCAATCAGGCCCCCACCTGGAAAGCAAGGGAACACAGTTAAGTTTCGGCAATAAGGCGCCCACCTGGAGAGCATGGGAACACAGTCAAGTTCAGCAATCAGGCGCCCACCTGGAAAGCAAGGGAACACAGTTAAGTTTTGGCAATCAGGTTCAAGTTTTGGCATTCAGGCGCCCACCTGGAGAGCACGGGAATACAGTTCAAGTTCAGCAATCAGTCGCCCACTTGGAGAGCATGGGAATGCAGTTCAAGTTCAGCAATCAGGCGCCCACCTAGAGAGCACGGGAATACAGTTCAAGTTTTGGCAACCAGGCGCCCACATGGAGAGCAAGGGAATACAGTTAAAATTTTGGCAATTAGGCGCCCACCTGGAGAGCACGGGAATACAGTTGAAGTTTTGGCAATCAGGCGCCTACCTGGAGAACAAGGGAATATAATTAAAGTTTCGGCAATCAGGCACCCACCTGGAAAGCAAGGGAATACAGTTCAAGTTTCGGCAATCAGGCACCCACCTGGAAAGCAAGGGAATACAGTTCAAGTTTCGGCAATCAGGCGCCCACCTGAAGAGCAAGGGAATATAGTTAAAGTTGTGGCAATCAGGCGCCCACCTGGAGAGCAAGGGAATACAGTTCGAGTTCAGCAGCCAGGCATCCACCTAGAGAATAAGGGAAAGCATCTCAGATTACAATTCAAGTCAACAACAAAAGAAGCTCGTGGTAAGAATGTGAGTCAACAGTCCGAGGTGATCAACAGAAGTGAGTCACAATAAGGAAAAAGAGAGAATGCCCGGTTTTGATCCGAAAAGATGAAGAAGAATGAGCTAGCACCTGCAACTAGCAAGCGTCAAGGTTCAAATCCAAAGTCTGCATGAAGAACCATTCAAGATTCAAGATCAAGCTTCAGAAGACTTATAGACAAGAATCCTGTAACTCGTAGTTGATAGGCTTAGCTAGTCTTTTTTATGTTTTGATTTTTGATGTAACATTAGGACAGCGGACCGAAACCTTGGCGGAACGGCACCTCGACCGGTTCTCCACCTCGGCATACTCCATCATCTCACTCACCTCTGAACTACACGTGGCCTGATTCCTTTATAGCCAAGGATATGTAGGCAGCTTAGATACCAGGGCTCGGTCATATTCCCTTTTTCTCAGTTTTAGTCTCTCCCAAATAAGGATCGGGTCAAAAAACCTGTCTAATCGTTCTTTGTCTGAAAACTTTTCGCGTTTCCAATCAAAGAGGGGCAGCTGTAGACATGTGATTTTTGACCCTCCCAAGATTTTTTATATTTTAGCACGTAAGTATTTAATTTAGGCCTAATATAGCTATTTCAATTCATTTTGACTTTTTACTTTATTTTATTACAAGAAAAATAAAAATTACAAAAAAAAAATTAGTTTATGTATTTTTCATAAATTTTAAAATTATACAAAAATAGTACCTTATTTTTATCTTTATATAATTTCGAAAACACAAAAATAGTTTCATGTTTAGTTTAATTAATTAGGATTAACTTTGGCATTATGTAGTATTTGTATCTTATTTTAAAAAGGAGTCAATTAAGGTGTTAGAACACAATTTTAAGAGTTATAGAGCTCAATTCTTGGCCCAATACCCAATGTCAATTAAGCCAACCCCATGGACCCTTCTTGACTCTTCTTTGGAATAAAAAATAAATAAAAAGATCCTAAGGACTTAACGCAAAAAGATTTACGGACTAATTGACAAATACACAAAAAATACATTTAAAACCTAGACCTATATTAGAGACTATCGCCTACAATGAGAGGGGGACAAAAAAAATACAGGGAAAAAACGGAGAAAGCAAACCTAGAGCTGAAATACTAAAAAGAACGCCTAGGGACAAAAAAGTCTGACCATCAGCGCCGTATAACTCCAAAAAAGACCCCCANAAAAAACGGAGAAAGCAAACCTAGAGCTGAAATACTAAAAAGAACGCCTAGGGACAAAAAAAGTACCATCAGCGCCGTATAAGTCCAAAAAAGACCCCCCTCCCCCTCTTGTCGTCGTCTTCCTCAACAGACCCCATAACCCGCTGCTGCTCCTCCACCTCAACCAGACCAACAGCCGCAGAACACAACACAAACGACCCCTGCTGCTTCTTCTGCCTCTTCCCATTCACGATAGCGTCGAACACGCCGGAAAACCTTCCCAAACCATCACCGTTTTCATCTCCAAACTCCACTCTAATCCAACCCCAAAATCTGTCCGGAAATCAACCACAAGAACAGATTAAAACCAACTGTTTTCCTCCATAATTACACCTCGCAAGGTCCGACTTTGTTATCTCATTTTGGTGAGTTAGAAGAGGTCAAAGTTTGAGGTCTGTTTGAATTCTCGTCCGATGCTCCGCTCTGCGAGTTTGGGGTGGAACGTCGCAGTTGATCTCCGTTCCCAAAACTGAAATTCTTGTTTTCTCTGTACGCAACAAAGGTTAGAAATCTATCGAAGGATTCATTCTTTTAATCTTCTAATTATTTCTTACAATGCTTCTGTTTTTTTTTTTAGATCGATTTAAATTTTGTTACTTTTTTCTTCTTTAGTTTTGTTTCTGCTTGTTTGATCGAGATTAATTTTACAAGTAACTAAAATGTAAGTTTCTCCATCTATGTTTTTTAGGCTAATATTATTGGACAAGTCCATGTTAGACTTAAAACGTAAATGGGTCAACATTTTAAAGGAAACTCTTTTTTTTTATCAATAACATGTGTGTTAACATTCTATTCTTTATTTGATATTATGTTGCTTGCTTTTCATTGTTCTGATATCTTGTTTCATGAAAGAACATTTGGTGTTAAGTTTGAAATTATTTTAGTAATTTAATAATAGCTAAAAATGGAGTCTTAAGTTGAAGAAACTATGGTGTATTAGAGAAATTGGGCCATGTAATTTTTAATGTGAGATTGATGAGATTTTGGGCTTTTAAATTTGATAGGTCACAACGAGGATTATGGTTCGGGAAGATAACAATGAAATAAAATTTACACTTCATCCACAAAAATAATTTCCATACTCTCATTACCTTACAATAATCTCAAAATTTAGAAAAATAACTCTTTAATATCCTAGTTTGCTTTAGGCGCGGCTAATAATGAATTATCATAGTTACGGGTACGGTTCCCGTGACGTAGTTGTGATACATATGTTATAAATTTAGGTGTGCATTTATGTGACCCAAATCCAAATCTCAATAACGTTAGATAAAACGTGTCGTGGACCGCGGGTGCATTTATGTGACGTGGTCCAAGATGTGTTTTAGATGACGTTGAATCTTTCTAAAAAATATCTAAATAAAAGCGGTTTTAAAGTTAAAATGCACATAGGCTTAAAAGTGTTTTAAAATCAGATAATTAGGCCAATAATAACAGTTGAGCGACCGTGCTAGAACCACGGAACTCGGGAATGCCTAACAGCTTCTCCCGGGTTAAAAGAATTCCTTACCCGGATTTCTGTGTTCGTAGACTGTAAAACAGAGTCAATCTTTANAGATAGTAAATACAAAAGTGATTTTTAATTTTGACCAATGTTGACCTGAAAAGAGACCAACTTTCGTCGCTAATTATCCAGGAATTAAAATTAGCGACCAAAGTTGGTCGCTAAATTTAAATCAGATTTATTTATATTTTATATAATATTTAAAATAATAATATAATTGTTAAACGTTAGAACTGGGTACCAGATTAGCAACCAAAGTTGGTCTCTATTTGAGTACGCGACCAACTTTGGTCGCTAACTTTGAATTATATTTATTTATATTTTATAATTTATTTTAAATAATAATATAATTATTAAAATTTTATAACTGGGTTCCATATTAGCGACCAAAGTTGGTCTCTATCTACTTACCCTTTAATTAGCGACCAACTTTGGTGGCTAATTTTAAATTATATTTATTTATATTTTATAATTTTTTAAAATAATATTATAATTATTAAAATTTTATAAGTGGGTCCCCCTTTAACGACTAACGTTGGTCGCTAATCTCAGTATTTCTTTGACTAAGCAAGTCTGACAATTCGGTCAATATTTTGACGAAATTATCGACCAAATAGCGACCAACCTTAGTCGCTAATGTATTTAAAATAATTATTTTATTATTTTCACCAATTTAGCGACCAACTTTGGTCGTTTTTCCTGACAGACCAACTTTAGTCGCTTTTTTCCGGAATTCTAGTAGTGTTTAATACTATTTCATCTTTTGTAGTACTCTCTTGTATTTGCTGTTCCTTATTGCCGTCTTCCTGTTTCTTCCCTTCAGTGTCGTGTTGCTCTTTTTTCTTCTTTTCAGCCCACCTATATTGAACCAGAGAATGTCCAATTCGCTTGCAATGTTTGTAGTATTTGGGCACTTGTTCATATTCTAACTTTTGAGTATAACCTTTTAAGGGCTAGTCCTCATCTTCTTGACCCACAAATACACTGTCCATTATTGATTTTGTGAGATCAATAATTACTCTAACTTTTGTCATCTCAGGTCTTGTTTTTGATCCAGTAGCTATGTCTAAAGTCTGTGTTACTCCAACTGGACTTAGAATCTGCTTAACATACTCCCAGTAGTGACAATGAAATGGCAAACCTGGTAATAATACTCAAACCAGGGCAAATGGGGAATGTTCATCCGGTTTGAAATCCAGTGTCCATTGTTCAAGCCACATTTGTTGTCCATATATATTTCAATTATCCGCTTGAAAAAGACATTCTTGCAATCCTCTTCATTACTAAAGTCCATAAAAACAGTTCTAAAACCATAAGCACCAATTTTGACATTACCTTTTATTGAGATTTTCTCGGCAAAAGAGCTTCGAATGATTTTAATTTTGGGTCTGGTCTTTAGAAATTTTCCGACTAATGTAAGTCGGCAATGTTGAGCCATCACTCCATAGTAATCTTTGGATTTGAAAATCACTGCTGGCATGCCATTATGAGTTGTTATTCTAGCCTTCACTTGGTATCCACTATTGACATTAGAGCTAGAGCTTTGCAGTGGCGGAGGCAGGATTATCGCCAAGGGTGTTCAAAAAAAGAAAAAAGTTAGAAAAGTTGCAGCCAGTGGAAATAGAACCAATGACCTTTCAAAGATTTTGACTAACATAGGCTTTTGGGCTATGTCAAAGGGATTCAAAATATAATATATAGAGGTAAAAAATAAATTTTATCTTACATATACCGTGTAATTTTGGTTAGGGTGAACACCCTTCCGCCCCCTAAATCCGCCCTGGGGCTCTGTATCACCGGTGGATAAACTGTGGTGGCATAGGTTGATTTGGGAATAATTTCTTCCATGGAGGTAGTCGCTCCAGCTAGAGGGTTCGAATTATTGCTAGGACGCGCCGATATTGGGCCGTCCGATGTGGACATGGAAGCGGCGCGTAAGTGCCAAGCGCTGAGTCTCTTAGAGACGTTAAGATTTGTCCGTTATTGTGCGGAGAGAATTTTTTGGACAGGGAACAAAAAGATTTTTAGGACCACGTTGATTTTACCCTTATTTCAATTCAATATATATCAAGCTTGTTACAGAAATCCAACTCGTAGATTATTTCTTATCTCTAGCATTGGATTCAATTCGTTCTTAGCCACGAGATCTATTTGCTACGTCAAGTGACATTATGTTTGATCACTGCTCAAAGGAAATCCTGGTTGTAGAAGAGCTTCTTGAAATGATTCAAGTTCAGCAAACTTTGGAGTTTTCGTTAAGGAGTTTCTAAGAGTTCTTTTCTCGCACTTGCTTTTGTGTTGCTGATCATCTCTTGAGGAAATATTGTGACAACAGTGTAATAGACGTTGATTATCTGACCCTGAAAGTTCATGATGCTGATTGGGAGCTTATCTGCAAGCAAAAGGGAAGGTTCCATTGAACCACATTTGATGTGCTAAGTACGTCTTCTTCTACATTGTAGAGATTTTTCTAAATTGAGCTAGATTGAGTTAAAGACATTTCAAGAAACCCATATTCCAGGTTACATTTTTTTCTTATTTGATGAAGAATTCCCGGATACAGATTTATTATCAAGAGTTTAACTTATATATTGATCGTGTAAGAACTTTTAAACTATCAGGTCAGCGAAATACAAGTATACAAGTAACTATCTATAGCAAATAAGATTTATAACATGTTACAACAAGTAAATTCACTGATACTATAAAGTTCTTTTAAGCATGTACAAAGTTAAATCCTAATGCCAAAATCTTTTATTGCTCTGAATATTTATTTCAGGATGTCTATTCAAAATTTGCTTAGGACCGAATGTCATAGTAATGGTTATGAAAATCTCCGACAACTCGTTCCATGTAAAATTGCATGTTATATTACAATAGATTTTCAGCATTTGAGACTTTTGCATTGTGGTGGATACCTATATTAATTGATCGCTGTAATTTCCATGACAAAAAAAACATATTCATTGCAGCAAAACCAGGCTTGGCTGGACTAGAACTGCACCAACCTGTTACGAACATGTCAAGAGTCTGATCCATAGAGCAATCATTCCATATCAATATCACATATAGCTAATATACCATTTAAGTGTTGTCAGAAGTGCCGTAACGACTCGACTAGTTATTTTGCTTTCTAGAACCTCGTTCTCTTATTTAAGACTTTTCATGTGTTTTTCCTATTTTATGACTTGCAGGGGTGACTCGTTTGGTTCTGGAAAGGTTCAAATTGAATTCGAAATACTTAGTTCCATAATAGTGGCCTAAGGTGGCACAACACTTTGAGTAAACGACCACGGAATCGAGATTTGAAGGTTCCAATAGGTTTGTATGGTAATTTTGGACTTGGAAGTATGTTCGAATCGAGTTTTGGGTGGACCGGGAGCGTTTTGGCGCTTATTACCAGAAGTTGGCATTTGGAAGGTTTTAAACTTTTCTAAATTTGACTTGAAGAGGACTTTAGTGATATCGAACCCCGCTTGGCTTTCCAAGCCCGAAGATAGGTTCGTATTGTCATATCGGAGTTGTGTGTAAAATTTGGTTCAATTTCGAGTTGTCTAATTATGGTTTGTCGCGTTCGAAGTTAGTTGGAAGAAGTTTGAACTTTAGAAGTTGATTAGTTTGATTTGGGGTGTGATTCTTGGTTGTGATATCATTTTTAAGTGTTTTGAGACGTTGCGTAGGTCCGGATTATGTTTATGGACTTATTGGTATAATTGAACGGGATTCTGGATAGCTCGGGTGAGTTTCGGACCACTCGAAGTAATATTGAAGTTGGTAGATTTTTTCTGGCGCTTGTGTATTTCGCGATCTTAAAGAAGAAATTTGGAGGGGGCGGCTATTGCTCTTCGCAAAAGTGAAGAAGTCCTCGAGAATGCGATGGAGGGCCTGGCTCCTCTTTGCGAACGCAGAGGAGGCCATACGAATGCGAAGAAGGAAGAGGAAGGGAAGGACTTGCAGACTTGGCCTTCGCGAATGCCGCAGTAGGTCCGCGAACGCGAAGGAATGGTAGAAGTGTTCTCCAGGAACTCGACAGAGCGATAGCAAACACGAAGAAAGAGACCTGGGCAGGGGAAGTTCTGTTCTTTACGATCCAGAGAGTGCTTCCGCGAGCGCGAAGAAGAAGGTCTTGGGTAGAATATAAGTTTTGTTTCGGGACTTAGTCTCATTTCATCACATGTTTTCTTGGCTTGAGCGATTTGGGAGTTTTTTGAAGGAGCATTTTCATCAAGTATCACTAGGTAAGTGATTTCTACTTATTCTGTGTAAAATACATGGATCAGGTGTGAGTTTTAACATAAAAATAGGTACAAATTATTGGATTTTCTTGAAAACCTAGAATCGATAAAAATGAGATTTGACAACGAAATTAATTATGAAATTAAAAATAAGTTATTTATTTGAGTTTGTGATGCATGGTTAATATTTATCTTTAAAAAGTTCGAAAATCTAGAGTGCTTGAGCCTGAGGTTGACTTTTGTTGACTTTATGTGTGGGGTTGGAAATTGATTCTAATAATTAAATTATGAGTACTTGAGTATATGTTGATTGGTTTGCATGTTCCTTTGGCTAGTTTCGAGTTCTTCGACATCGATTTGAGGTGTTAGTAATGTGTTGGAGTCGAGTAGTAGACTTGGAAGCAAGGTAAGTCTCTTGCCCAATCTTGTAAGAAGGAATTATCCCCGTAGGTATTTTATTTATCATGTGCTTTATCGTATGGGTGCTATGTATGTACGACATGATGAACGTCCGTGTGTAAGCTAGATTTTTGTTTATGTCCGGGTAGAATTAGACCTACATCATGCCTTAACTGTACTACTTGAATTAATCTTGCATGTTTGATTACATAAATTCATAACTGAGCTTGAGACTAGAATTTGTGTATTTGACATAGCCTCTTACTTTACGTTTTGGAGGGATACTTAATTGATGGTAAAATTATGTTTTCTTTTGTATTCATATCTTCGTGTTGGGTTTATGTGATCGGTAGTTGTATGATCTACTCGCACGTACGTTCGCGAGTGGGGCTAGTAGCCCGATGAAAGTTTCTCTATTCCTGTGGGATCAAGACGTTCGCCTCGGTAGTACTATAAAATATCATTACGAATCGAGTCGTACGTCCTTGTCGGTATTATGAGATGCATCTATGGATCGAGCCGTACGATCACGCTGATGTTATATGATTGTGTCTTATACCGATATGCTTTTATATATATATTGTTATTGGGCCACTAGTAAATGCCAATGTCGACCCCTCCCCACTACTTCTTCGAGGTAAGACTAGATGCTTACTAGGTATGCGTTAAATTAGGTACTCATACTACACTTCTGATTGTGCAGGTACTAAGACAAGTACATCGGGTGGTCACTCAGGCGTGTAGTCGTATCAGGTGGAGACTTAGTGGTGAGCTATTTTTCATGCTTCGACCCCTAGCACTCGGAGTTTCCTTCCTCATATATTTACTTTATTCTGTCTATTTTCATTTCTGATAGTAGTTGTAGTGGTTTTGTATATTCTATTAGATGCTCATGCACTGGCGACACCAGGTTTTGGAGATTTTTAGTAGATGTTCATGGTTGTATTTGATATTTATAATATTTTGCCTTATGTTTTGTTCATATTTCGTGACTTACTAAGAATGAAAGTATTTTATCATGGTTCCTAAATCTATCTCCGATTTATTATTTAAATTCTTGATTTGTAAAATTGTTATAAACATTTGTTTGTGTTGATGGTTTACTATTGGTTTGCCTAATGATAGTGTTGGGCACTATCACTGCCTACGGTGAGAATTGAGTCATGACAAGTGAACGAATACCCGTCTTAGGACCCCTATTGAATGAATAGTGTAATGATCCGACCAATCGTTTTGAGCATTTGCACTTCGCTCGGTTGTTTGAGGGCATGAGTAGCTTTATATGATGCATTAGGACTTATGTGAATCGTCGGATTTGGTTTTCAGGTTATTTGGAACTTATTTAGCAGAATGATTTTCAGCTAGAAGCTTTAAAATTTGAAAGATTTAGCCAAGTTTGACTTCTTAGTAATTGACCTCGGATAGGATTTCTGATGGTTTCATTAGCTTTGTTATGTGATATTGGACTTAGAAGCACGTCCGGATTGTGATTTGGAGGTCTGTAGTAAAGTTTGCCTTGAAATGGCGAAAGTTGGAATTTTAGAACGTTTGACTGGAAGTGGAACTTTTGATATCGGGGTCGGATTCTGATTCTGGAAGTTGGAGTAGGTCCGTAATGTCAAATGTGACTTGTGCGCAAAATTTGAGGTCAATCGGGCATGATTTGATAGGTTTCGGCATCGGTTGCGAAAGTTTTAAGTTTCAAGTTCATTGATTTCGAATTGAGGTGTGATTCGTCGTTTCGATGTTGTTATGTGTGTTTTGAGGCCTCGAGTTGGTCTGTGTTATGTTATGGGACTTGTTGGTATGTTTGGACGTGGTCTCGAGGGGATCGGGTGTGTTTCGGATTATCTTCGGATCATTTTCCTTCATGTTTTCAGTGCTAAGGAGCTGCTGGTTCTGGTGTTCTGCACCTGCGACTGATATTGCGCATGTGCGATGGCCGCCGATGCAATCCAACCATCGCAGATGCGAGATTTCACTAAGGGGTGGAGGTCTACAGATGCGGAGGTATTTGCGCAGAAGTGTGACCGCAGATGCGGTCAGGGCCATCGCAGAAGCGCCTCTCGCAAATGCGAGTCCATCATCCGCAAAAGCGTAGGTCGCAGATGCGACATTTTGACCGAAAATAGAATCGTTGGGCAGAGTTATACTTTGGTTCTTTCTTCATATTTCGAGATGTGGGTCTCGGATTGAGGCAATGTTTGAAACAAATTTTATCACAATGATTGGGATAAGTGTTCTCTACTCAGTTTTGATTACATTTCACGAATCTATCTTCATTTTTGGCAATTGGTTGATGAATTTAAAAGAGAAAATTGGAGGTTTTGGCCTAAAGTTTCATAATATGAATTTTGAGTTTTGAACGCCGATTTGGAGTCAGATTTGAGTGAAACTAGTATGGTTGGACTCATAATTGAATGGGTTGTCTGATTTTGTAAGGTTTGCCGGGTTCTGATGTGCAGGCTCGGGTAAGAGTTTTAGCCGGAATCGGGATTTGAGATAGGATTCGATCTTTATCATTTAGAATTATTTCCTTGGGCTTTATTTGATGTATTTGAGTTGCTTTTGGCTAGTTTTGAGCCATTCGGAGGTTGCTACGCGCGTGAGGCATTCTTGGAGTATCGCTTGGCTTGCTCGGTATTGGAATTTAGTTTTTTCAAGGTAAGTAATGTCACGACCCAAATGGGCCGCGACGGGCACCCGGTACTTTACTCAACCGAGTACCAACATAACGTATCTTTTCATGTCATACTATCATAGATAACTGAGCCTGAAGGCTGCTATGAGATAAGTAGAATACAACATGTGATGTCAACTTATACATAAGACATACGGGCCTATGAGGCCAAAATAACCACTCGTACACTAAACATAGGCCGACAAGGCCATACAGTCTTTTACGTGTATGACATCTGTCTACAAGCCTCTATGAATACATAATTTTCATAGAGGCCAGGATAGAGTCCCGCCATACCAAACAATACACATCTAAATCATACTAACCAAACAAAACTCCGAAGCAAATGGAGCGCACCAACATCTTCCGCTGAGCTGATAGCCTACTTGGAGGGCTCTCGAACTGTCTATCGGGACCAAAGGGCATGAAACGTAGCGTCTCCAAGCAAAAGGGACGTCATTACAAATAATGTACCGAGTATGAAAGGAATGAAAATCAGTAAATAATAGATATGAGAGAAACATGGAGTAAAAGACTCGACATGTACTTTTGCATAGCTCTATTAATCATTTCATTTTTATAATGTCATGTATATGCGTATAAATGTCATACCATGCATGGGTGTATGCGTTCATAACATCATCAAGCCTCTGAGGGCATCCCATCATATCATTTCAGCCATTGTGGGCAAATCATCAACGTATACCAGCTGATCAGGTGGTGGTGCGTATATAACGCCATAACCTTTCCCATATCCCATATACATATATATACGCGTATATAGCGCCATATGATCATGGGTCAATGTGCACATGTAAATGCATGTGAAAATATGTTAATAAAATCTCTCTGTACGTCATAAGACCTTATGCCTCTGACTAATATCATGAAATAAATTTTACCAACTTACGTATTTTTTAGACCCATGAACAGATGATAGAATAATATGACACATAGGGAATCAAGAACATCGACATCTCTAGTATTTCTTTTAATAGAGTCATTTATAGAATTTTTGCATTTCCTCATTTAGTTCGTGTCGTGTAGATCATGCCAAAAAGAAAGAAGACATAGCCTTAACATACCTGAATCGATTCTCTTAACAATCTTCTAACATACGTCAATTGTGACAAATCACATAATGGCGGATCAAAGTAGGGAAGAATCCTTATGATATTCTTTGAGAAAGATTGCACCGTACTCCCTTTGAATCGTAAAACCCCGTTGCTATAACATCACGTAGTCTCGTATGATCTTTGGTAGCAAAGTCACATTGATAATATTTGAATAAGTTGCTGAAGCTCCTTTCTTCATTTTAGAGATTCTCAAATGAATTTGAAAGGCTTTCTTAACCTTTAGGGGTGGGCCCTATATTTTAGCTTAGTTGTCCATCCAATTTTCTAAGAATGACACCTTGAATAATTACATAAGAGTCATATGTTGGAGGTGTTGTGGGCTACCACGTTTTGTGGTTAATTCTTATCCAATAGTGTCCTAATTAATTGCTTAATTAATTTACTAATCCCCATCAATAATTAGCTAATTATCCACATAATTAGGAATTATCTCAATTTACTTAAAATACTACTCACTTTTAGTACACTTTATACACCTTACTATCATAGCCATGTGGTACCTTGTATGGTATGAGTCCATAAATACCGGGTATTATAGCTCGGATCGTATTTTATCCCAAATTGAAAAACTTCGACGAAACTTGTTTTCTTCGATTTGCTTGCCCTTTCACCTTCACGAATTTACTTATTCCTTATTTGAAATAGCATAATACTTATAATTCCAAAATAACCTCATTCCCAAGCTTACGTCGATTAACTTACGACGAAACATCAACGTACAAAACAATGTGGGACGTAACATCTCACTTCTGAGCTCTCATTAATTTATTTATGGCGTATTTTCACGTACGAAAATATGGGGTGTAACATCATTCCCCCCTTTGGAACATTCGTCCTTGAATGTTGACTGATGCACTTATCATTCGCATATCCCACAGCTCTCCTTTAGTACTCTTCTTGTCATCTAGGCAATTATTTTTGTAAATAAATCCAAAGGCCAGGGCATTCTCCCCTTTTGGCCTCTTTCTCACACCATGACCTGATTCTTCCAATCTCATAACTCTTACTACCTTCTGTTATGCAGTCCGACTTTTTCCTTGTATGTGCGCCTGTGCGACTCTTCCCTTCAGCTTTCCAATCTCTAGGCTTCACTTTGGGAACATATACATAACTTGACAAGATGTTTCTCTGGGCATCTATAGGTGTACTAAAGTTCTTGCTTAGTACTTTGTCGAACTTACGACTATTGTTATATCTTGTTTCATAGACCTAGTTATTCATCCACATGATTTTACTGCATCTAGGTAGGTCATATTTTACCATAACTCTTACTTCAATTTATCGTTGCTGAGGTCTGCTACCAATTTCTGGCCTACTCTTGTTGCTTATCCCATATGTATAAATCTAATTCCTTTAATGCATCCTCATTATTACTCATCTTAAGAATGACGGCCTAATCTCAACTCATACTTTGTGACTTTTGTCCATCAATTATGGTTTGCCTCAATATTGATCTATAATATATCACTGATAACTTGAAACTTCTTACGTAATACCTTGCCACTAGGGCTAACGTTGCATCGAGAAATATTTGAAGTGATTTCCATAATCGTATTTCATAGTATCTCAATGTGATTCATCTTGCGTGGGTATTTTAGTCCCTTACAATTGATGAAATCCTCTTCAAGTCATTACTTAATCTAAGGCCCAAACGTCATCCTTTATCTATCACAATTACGCCCTTATTTCAATACCAGGGCAGCATTCCATCCCTTATAAGCGCTACAAATCTTAGACTCCTTTGAGTTCATTCTGGCTATACTGATCCTTCTATAACTTAGAAAATCCATCAACTCTCTTATTTTCATGAGCTTAATCCCAAGAACTTATCAATTCTTGTCACCTTTTCACTTACATTTTCTTACCCTTACTCCTGTCTTCCTAAATCCTTGTCGCTCTACCATACTTTAGCTTGCAACCTACACATATCTATTCATAATTGTTCGCAACCTTCCTTCAACTTGCTTGCACCATAAATTCCCTTATGTCATTCTGGAACATCAAGCGAGACATTACATCGTCTCTAACTCTTCTTTACTGTCTTTATTAGCCTCCTCGATACCTAGAAACCATAGGCTATGAGATATGCCACTGACGATGCCACTATTATTCCTGGATATTGAATCCCCGTGCTTCTAGACTTTTATCCGAAGTATGGAATATTCACA